TTCTTGTTCGAGTTATTCTTCTAGTTCAGTTTACTCTTCTTCTCTTAGATAAGCTGCTCGTGTATTTTAAAATAGATTTAAATTTGTAGTGTGATAAGATCCCAAAAATGAAAGGGATCAATCGTAGGAGAACATAGTGTTCCTAAATAGTAAGAGAATAGTGAACTTTTCTTGAACAGAGGCACTGGCAGCTCAATGAGCTAAAATAATGTTCTAATAGAAGATAGAGCGAGTTGTATTAAACTTGAGAAATCCATCTTGAATAACTAGTGAACTATTGTTCAACTTTTAAGGCTAACAGAGAAGGCGGGAAAAGTGATTGAAGTTGTTAAATCTGATCCACGCGCGTAGTAACGTGCCACTAATTCCTACCAGATTTATATCTAACTAGAATAAATTAAGAATGTCTATTACACCATTGAATAGTTATCTAATATAAAAGACCATATCACTGTATTGTGAGTATCTAAAATTGTAGTGAAGATTTTCAACCCTCATGTTTTTCAATATGTTCTGTAACATGGCATCTTAATCTAATGAGTAAATCATATTTTTACAATCAAATTAACTCGAACTAATGAAAGATATAAAAAGCAATGGAACTGATACAAATTACCTCCCATGGTACTGCACATAGAAAGTAGAAACAGTGATTGTTCCATTTGGATTTTTAACTTGGGAAACTCAAGATTTTTCAATAAGATACATTCTAATATATAGTTGCACCATATATTCCTCCATTCTTGTCTAACTGAATCTCCACAAATTAACCAAAACAACTTTAAATAATAGATTTTAAGTAGCTTTCAGAAGGAAAATGAACAACTATGTCAACTTATTTTCAAGATGGAGTTATATATTAAATCAGTCATATTTGATTAGGCAGAGCTCTCATATTTGCTTCTTGATTGTTGTTGCTGCAGAAGGATTGTTTGCTGAGTCTACAGGCAATCAGGTTTTGTTGGATCCTCAAACCTTCTGAGTATTCTTGTATAATACACTTATTCCCTTTAACATGTTATTTCTTATTCCCTTACATATCAACTTGAGAATTACACATTCATTAAGTGTGATCAATAATCTTTTGTGTCATTTGGCTGAAGGATATATTGCCTGACTATCACTATATGTTATATCTTCAGTTTTCATACTTATGCCCTTGAGTTGTGTAGAAAATGTCTATATGTTTCATTTGAAATAAGATGATTGTGAACTTTTCTATTTACTGGCGCTAAATCTTGAGAATACTATGACTAACACTTGAGGCAGAAGATGTACGTGTGACACTTCTCTCTAAATAATGTGAATGGAATAATCTTGTTGTTTTTCATATATTATTCTGCCGTTTATAATTGTACGTTAGTATTCATTCTGGGGAGACTTATCAAAACAAGAACTTGAATACTAAGGGGTTGTTTGGTATAAGGGATAAGGGATTACATGCATTTGGTTAGGGGTATTAGTTAGTCTCTAAATGATTTATCCCACCATTTATAGTGCTATGATGGGATAAGTTACATTATACAGTGGTGATTTGTAGGCTATTTCGACCGTTTGAAAGATTTTTTTAATCAGTATTATGTGTTCTAACAGTTTAGTTTTTTTTTTCTAGATAGTTTAGTTGATATCTCATAGATGTAGTTTTGAACTTATATTGTCAAACAACTTTTCTTTTAGGTTGAGATTGTTTGATGTTAATGCAACCAGCCATCCTTCTTTTTTTTTTGTACATGAATATGATTTGCTACTGTTCAGTATGTGTTGGCTAATATAAGTTGACTTTAAACTTTAACTTTTGGTTTCTTATCTACCCTCTTTTTCAACTGTGACTTGGAGTTGGTCATCTTGTTTATTGTTCATGCAGATGGCAACTATGCCATGCACTGCTAAGGGACATGGTTGGCTAAGGCCTGCAATTGGAGTCGTCGAGCTCTCCCAGTGCATAATTCAGGTCTTTGATTTAATGTTGTTTAAGCAATACTTCTGTGATCGTGTCAAATGACTTATTTACTACTACTAAAGTGACTGTAAGCATAGTTTTATCATTCAACTACTAAAGTTTAGGTTGATTTAGCAGAAAGGGAGTATTTAGCAAAGTCTTTACATCTATGAGGAGGTACTTTGATTATGTTTTGATTTAAAGGGAGGTAACCTACTATCTCTACCATACACATGGGAACAAATTAGATATTCCTTGTTGACTAGACCTGGAAACTGAGACTGGTTGGCCCAGGAGACTGACCTAAGATGCACAGAAAATGGGGACCAAAACTGTCCCAGGCAGGCTGGGCTGGTCCTGATTGTCGCCCAAAATCAGTGCAGACCGAGTTAGGCTAGCTATTGGAATGGACCAGGACCGGGTGGGCTTGTAATAAAAAGTAACTTACATTTTGATAATATTTGAGGTTTCAATTTGAAGAATTCTTTGAATAATCATCAGCTTCTCTGTAATCTTCTGCCGTTAATTCTAGGTGGCGAATAGGCGGCTGGGGCTGGAATCTGGGCAGGTCAAGTCGTCAAGATGGTAATCTCATTTTCTTTTAATCAAAGACAATATCCAACTTTGTTTTTACCCTATAGTTATTAATTAGCCTTGGAATGAGCATACTGCAAAGCATATCTGTCATGTGCTTGAACAATGGAAAAGCTCATCCTGCAGTTCTCTAAGAAATATAGCAGGGCTGTAGGTTCTATTTAACATTTTCTTTTCCTTTGATTAAGTGACTAGTTTAGCATTTTTGTAAATCAACTAAATTTTTTTGAATTTCTCATAAATAATAATTAGATCATCCTGTTTGACTCTTTTAACCTGTATTCATTTATCAATGCACTTGACTCTTTTAACATGTAGTCACTTCTTTTTCCTTCTTCTCGTCAATTTATTATCTTCTATCAATTTGTTGATGAGTTGTTGTCTGAGCACCTTCTGGCTTTCTCCAGGTGCTGTAAGGAAGGGAGGAGAACAAGAACTTACATACTTAATCATGTCTTCTAGTCAAGGAACGGGAGCGATACACAAGAACTCCATGGTTCTTAAGCTACACTATATGAAAGTTTAGACTCCATTTACCAATCAACTTAAGAAATACATCCAAGAAGTTGGAACAAGTAAGTTTTTTCAAAACTATTGAGATTTTAATTGCATAGATAGCAAAGACTATTCAACTTTTGTCTTTCAGATTCAATTTTGTAGCTTTGTGCCTAATAGAATGGATGGTTTTGGGGGGGGGGGGTCTTGCTTGTTATACGTAATGGTTCTCTTTAGTATTGATGTTTTAGGATATAAAAGTCATTGTGAATGCAATCGATAGTTCTCTAGGATTTAATGCAATCACTGTGAATGCAATTTGTAGACCTTTTAGTCTTGTGATACACTATTGAATGTAATCTGTTTTTGTCTCCCAACCTTCTACATCAAGACATAAAAACATGAAAACTATAGACGATTTAGACTTGTGATACACTACTAAATGGACAGTTGAGGTTCTGGTAGGAAACTCTACAACTATGAGGAAACCATAACAAATTTCAATCATGAACAAATTTGGATCAGATTTGAAATTTAATAAGACGTTTTAGACTTGAAGTTCTGATAGAAAACACTCGAAGTCTTTTTTCAGTACTTTTATAATCTAAGAGCATCCAGTGAGTTAAATACCTTCTAGGAAGATTATCCAACAGCAGACATCTATATGCTGCTAGCCTGCTACTAGTTCCTTTCGGAATTGCCTCTATTGTCTTCTCTTGATACAACACATACTGTCCTCTACATATTTGGGTGGAATTTGAATTACAGATGATCTACTCATTTCTCCTTGGACCTCAACTATCCATATGCACTCTATATAAAGAGATGTTGTTGAGTCTCTATGATATCCATAGCACACATTCTTGATGGGGAATTTCTCCATTTGTACTATCTCTTGTCCTCGAATTTTTGTGTTTTGATATAGATTTGAATTCTTGCTTAATGCATATCAAAGTTTTCCTAATTAATTTTCTTATATTCATGCAGCTTGTTTATGTTTCTAGATAACCCTCGTAGGATTTAAGAGTTTTTTTGGGATGAGAAGTTTAACTAATTTTAGTATACAGTTTACATATTACTCCAAATATATACCAATAGTTACTTATGGTCTTCTCAAAAATTTTATACTTGCAGATTTTGAAGATTGAAGTTACAAGTCAAGATACAAGTTTAGAAGATGGAAAAGATCATTATTATTTTGCTATGGAAGTTATACAAAACATGATATCATGGTCTAGCTTGAGATGTTGATTAGCTAAGCTTTTTTGTTCAGAAAATATTGAAACTAACATCATGGGATGTTAACCAATTTTTATATTTAGATCAGCCTTTTGTTTGGAGATTTTTTGTAGCAATCTTATGTTTATTGGTAAAATATTTATTTTTTTTATACGAAGCTTAAGAAACATTGGTGATCAATAAGAGACCAAAAATATTGCTCGTCCCTAAAGGTTAATCTAAGATGAGATAGCTACTAGTCGCAAAAAAGTGATCCCCGACGAGATAGTTTCTCGTCGCTAAAGGGATTTAACAACCAGAAACTACATATTTTTTAAAGAAGAAAATCAACTATTTGGGACGAGATACATGGTCTCTAAAAGGAGTTTTGCGACCAGCTTTTGCTTCCGTCTCTAAAAACATTTAAGGACCAGCTCAAGGAGCCCGTCGCAATTGACCTTTAGCGAAGAGACCTATTAGGACGGGTCGCGACCAGCCTTTTCCCGTCGCAATAGATTATTTGGGACCAGATTTCGACTTTCTAGGACCATATTTCCCTTCCTTAGAGGGTGTTTTTCTTGTAGTGGTCGCCAAAAATATGTTGCGAAAGACCATTCGGCGCAGTAAGTCAGGATCGCCGATCAGCTCGGTGATCTGCCCTTTGGTCAGTTCCATCACCTTTCCGCTTTGGCCTTCAGCATCCTCAAGTTCAGTAACTTTGGGCGGTCCAACACTGCTTCGCGGAACCACTCAGCGACATGCTGACTGCTCCTTTCTATCGCCGACTTGATTTTATCCTTCAGAGCTTGGTACATTGGAAATTTAGGCAAGATAATAGCCATTCGGTGACTCGCCCAATGGATTAGGCGATCAACTAGCCTTCTTTTCTTCGTTCTTTCAGCTGCCTTGTTCCTTTTTTCCCCATTAGTGTCCATGCTTTGTTCCTCAATCAAATACTTGGAATCAAGGATTTAACATCAGTTATTTGCACAAAAATAAGCATTTGAGGACACTAAATCTATCCAAATAAAGCCCTAAATGAGTCCAAATCGTGGACTCATCAGTGCTCTTGTCTATAATTTTGGATTGAGGTCCCCAATGTACTTCAAAGTTTTGGAAGTCTTTCCAAAAGGGACTAGGTACCAAGGTGAATCTTAGCACTACTTTTCACCCTGAAACAGATGGTCAAGTGGAACGGACCATTCAGAATTTAGAGGACATGTTGAGGGCATGTGTGATAGATTTTAAGGGAAATTGGGACGACTATATGTCGTTAGTTGAGTTTAATTATAATAAAAATTATCATTCGAGTATCGACAAGTATCCCTTTGAGGCTCTCTATGGTAGGAGATGTAGGTATCCTATAGGATGGTTTGAAGTAGGGAAAGTTTCTCTCCTAAGGCCTGGAATTGGTATACGAGGCCATTGAGAAGATTCGGGTTATTAGAGATAGGTTAAGGACGGCCCAAAGTCGGCAAAAGTCCTATGTCAATGTTAGCAGGAGAGATCTAGAATTTTATGTCCATGATTGAGTTTATTTGAAAATCTTGCCCATGAAAGGTGTTAAGAGGTTTGGAAATAAGGGGAAACTTAGTACTCTGTTTGTGGGTCCTTATGAGATTTTGAGGCGTGTAGGCAAGGTTGCATATGAGTTAGACTTACCAAATGAGTTGGCATTAGTGCATCTGATGTTCCATGTCTCAATGTTGAAAAAAATGTATTGGAGATACATCAACCATAGTTCCCTTAGAGGGTTTAGAGATTAAGGAGAATCTTGCTTATGAAGAGGTACCGATTGAGATTCTAGACCGGCAAGTCAAGAGGTTGAGAAACAAGGAAGTTGCCTCCATGAAGGTATTATGGAGGAATCACTTAGTTGAGGGTGCTACTTGGGAGGCCGAGGTCGATATGAAGTCTCAATATCCTCACCTTTTTCCTTCTACTCCTATTCAAGCTTGAGGTAAGTAGTTCCTCTAGAGTTTTATTGTTTTGGAGGTCATGTGTGATTATGTGTTTCCATGATTTCCTTATGTTATGCATGTTCTTGAGAAATTCATGTTTAGTAAGAAAATGAGTTTTCATGATTTATGTTCCTCGTGTTTTTGTGTATTGAGTATGAGTTGCCTATTTGACTCCATGAGATTAATTGATGAACATGCTTTAGTATGCTTTTGAGAGTAAATTGCATCTTAGCTCCATGATGTTATGTTGAGCATGCTTTAGTTGGAGAAGGTAGTTCCTCCTATGAATATGAGAAATGTTGAGTTTTCATGCATAATGGGTTGTTAGATCTAGTTCCTACTTCTTTGTGATGCATTGTTTATGTTTGAGTTGGAGTTGATGTTTCCTCATTTGAATTGTGCATTATTTTGATGTTTCATGCATGATGGGCTGCTAGTCTTGAGTGTTTACTTCCGTAAGGTGTCTAGATCATCATTCGAGGACAAATGTTCCCAAGGGGGAGATATTGTAACACCTCGGAAACTAGTAGGCTAAACTAGAGCTTAACATGAGGGTTAGTGTCGTAAACGTAACTCCCCGTATTTAAAAGTAAAGGGATTTAGTATTAGAACGTTAAGGTATGACCCCCAAGGACCAACCATGGGTCCTGAGAAAGGCCCTAGAAAATTGCCTGGGCAGTGGACCACGGAGGGGACCCATGCCTTGTGGGTTAGTCCACACCCGTGGGTGAGGAGGTCGTAGGTGGGAGCCTACAAATGAGGCTCTATGAACCTCGACCCATGTTTCACCAGCACGGGCCGTGGGTCCAACCACAGTCCGTAGGTGAGGGTCTCGTGGATGGGCCAAAATTCTCTGACCACGAACCACGCCCAACCAGGACGGGCCGTGGTTCCATACACGGTCCGTAGGTCAATGGTCCATGGTTCAGGCCTAGAACTGCTTTTTGGCCGTTAAGCTTAGGGGCATTTTGGGGTTTTCCGGTTTTATTAATTAATAACTAAGTGAGGTTGTTTTAGGCTAAATTAGATCACCTATATAAGGATTTTTATTCACTAAAATAAGTCTTTTAACTCATTCTTCCAAATCCCAAAAGAAAGACCCAAATCCCCTCCAAAAAAATTCTCTCTCTAGAACTTCAAGGAAGAAGAAGAAGAAGGAAGTTGGAGCTAGGGTTGAAGGAGCAAGGTTTTCTTCTCAAATTCATTGGAATTCATTGCTAAGGTATGGTAGTCCTTCATCCATGGATAGCTTTCATCTAGTGGTGGCAAATGGGCTGGTTGGGTCAAATTTGGGCGGGTTGAAAATGGGTCAACATAAAATGGGTAATAATTCAACCCGTCCATATTTGATATGGGTAAAAATGGATTGGGTAACAAATGGGTTGGGTGAAATACTAGTTTACCCATATTTTCATTAGTAAATAGTACTCTACTTAGGAATTCAATTAGTCTTTTTTTAGATGAAAAATGTTGAAAATGCTTCATTTAGTTTTATTGTATCATAAAAGTAAAAAAAATCCTATAACTTTTAAATATAAAATAAATTTATGTAATAACAAGGGGAACATATATTTAATTTCAAAATAAATGAATATTTACATTTTAGAACTAAAACATGCTTAATGCACTTTAAGCAATGTCAATACTAATACATAATTTGCGTATTTTACACTATGTATTTATTGTCCAATATAAAATTAAACAATTAAAAAAATATAATTATAAGTAACAAAAGAAATGTACATTTAAAATATATATTTTTGGAGGGCCAAAGACTTCACCTTTTCAATTATAGAGAAAAATAATTAGTTTTATAGAAGAACATAAAAAGGAAGAGAAGTTACAATATTTTGGTAATATCATGAATTTTGAGTGAATAAAAGTTAGAAGTTTAACCCATTTGGCTAATCCATATTTTACCCATATTTTTATGGGTTGATTATGGGTATCAACCCATATTTTACCCATGTAAAAAGTCACTCACCCAACCCATTAAAACATGGTCGGGTTACCAAAATATGGGCTCATTATGCCGGCACTACTTTCATCCATTGAGTCCCTTCAAACCCCAATTTCAAAGATAGAAATCCCCAAAAGCTAGGGTTTGATTCCAAAACCATGGGTTCCTTTCTAAAAAGATTTTAATGCTTGAATTACTTTATATTATGATTGAATTGATGATTCATTATGGTTTTTATGTTGAAATCCCCAAAAACACATGAAATCCCTATATTTCTCAATTATGATCTTGTGATGTGGGTTTGTGGATGAAAGAAGGATATTTTGAGATTATGCTTGTAGTAATTGAACTACTTGAATTATGTTAATATACATGTCTAATGTAGTGAATTCTAGATGTATTGATTCAATATGAGCTTTGATCCTTGAAAGGGAAAATTGTGATATTATGCATGAATTATGAAGTTTAGTATATGCTTTAAGAACACTTTGAGAGTAAAGTTAATATGATCATGATCTTGTTGTTGTGTTGTTGAAAGGTTATTCTCATATACACACTCATGCATGAATATGACATGATGTGAAAAGTTTTCTCACAATATAGTGATTCTAAGGTTGAAAGACTTTCTTACCTATTGAATCTATATGAAGACATGGACGGTGAAAGGTTATTCACTGATGCAATACGGATTTCATCTAGGCCATTTACTAGAAGCCAAGCTCAAGACCTTCAAAGGATGCAAGGGTTATTTATGAAGATGGAGGTGCTCGAGATGGTGTTGATGACAAGCAAGGAAGATTGCAGAAGAAGGCACTTTTGGCGAGCAGGGCTCACTTGGCACATCGCCCAACGGCTTAAGCGATGGTCCCAGCTCGCCTAATGCTCCAGAACGTGACCATGGTTGAAGATCACGCAGAGAAACTCGCCAACCAAGTCGGCGCGTCACCCAACCCACTTGGCAACCCCACCCAGTTCGCCCATTGTCATTCCGGGTCACTTTTGGGCCTTTTATTTTAAAACTTATAAATAGCTAGCTAGGGTTCATTTTAGACGTAGATTATTTTGATATTGAAAACTGAAAACTCATGTTCAGTGTTGAGAGCTTGGTAAGCTTTTGTTGTCTTTTGGTTAGAAACGTCGGTTACTTGGGATATTGATTCCCTTGAGGTCGTCGTAAGAGTTTGGTGCTATTGTAGGATTAAT